CTTTGGGAAAAGTCAGCATTAATCTGCTCTCAGACCATATTCCAGGTGGTCAAGTCTTATATAGGTTTACTGAATCCTGCCTGTCTATCCGTAATGACTTCTAGATCCCACGAAGTATCAACTCTCTTCGCGCTACGATACTCAGACGCTGGTGTACCCCTTAGCCGACTCTCGCCTTGTCTCCAGACTTCTTCTACACCAAACTCTTCGTACATGTGGTCTAGATTGACAGACACTGGGAAAATTCCCATCCACGTTGTCCTGATAGGTCAACTCAGGGGCTCCGTATGCCCACCAGTAGGAGTCTTGGCTATCGTAAGCCGAATCATTGGCTTCCCGTTCGACATCGACATATATATGTTCTTCCTCCATCTGAGCTAGTGCCTTGGTATTGACAGACTAATAGACGCAGTCGTTTGGTGTGCTCATGAAGCTAGGCCTAGTTTTCGCCATTGTCGACAACAACGAGTCAAGCCAACTCACCTTCTTTTCCAATTTTGACGTCGGATTGACTTGCGCTGCCCATTCCAGGCATATGTTGCTCCAAAATAACCCGCTAACATTCTCATTGGATCATTAGTTTTGTATGAGCCAATTGTGTTCGGGTCTTCGATACATAGCTTTTAGAGGATTTTACGACTTACACATCCCTCGATCCCACATGCAATGTATCCTCTTCAATCACAATCACTGTGGCAAGAGGGATCGGCATAACAAATACTCCAGATGTCGCTATCATCGCATAGTCTGAACGGCGTTCCATTGTCTCTTCCAGTCTCATCCTTTGGGAAGATAGGAGCGAAGAAGTGTGTCGCAGACAGCAACGTCGCTGTATGATGGAGGGCCAAGGCACGTGCCGTATAGCATCCAACGATTCCAGTCATCCTCTTCAGCCCCACCTTTACCACATCAATAAGTTCTGAGACTGAGTTGACAAGGAATTGGATCAAGATACGGTGTCAAGTTGCTTGCTAGAGATACCAGCCTGTGCCTCGCTCCTATTAGGAAGGAAGAGAGTGTCGCCGCGCATGCAGGCACGCCTTAGTGATGAGAGGCAATCATCAGGCGATTGGCTCTCACGTCAAAACCCCGTTTTACGAAAGGGGACTCGATGTACAAGTGTAGAAGATCCTGTTCTATTCAGAAAACTGTGCAATGTGCAGTGTTTGGACAACATTTGAAGGCTAACTTGAGAGGTGTGGGATACGCGTTCTTATTGAACCAGGACTCCTCTGATAGTCGTTCTGTGGCCAGGATTATGAGCCACTGACCGGCCGAGACCTCTCAAATGTGTAGTTTGACACGAATCTGTCTGTACACACAACGATGTCTCAGCAGCCCTCCACATAGGCGTCGTTCCAAGACTTGTGTGTCGCATCCCATACCTTTGCCGCAGCCTGGAGGTTTTATCAAGGTAAGTGGTTCATAATGCCAACGTGTTCACTCGGACTATGTGCCTCACTGTGCCGTAGAGCACTGAAACATCTTTGGACTCCACGTCATGGTGCTGTGCTATATTAATGGCACCGCTCACCAAAAGGTACAGAAGAATCATCCCTTGAGAATCTCTAGTGTCTAATCGGTTGTGCCTTCTGTACTCCTTGATTCCTCCCTCCCAGTACTTCCGTAACGTCTGTTTCGATGCTTTGTGGTCCGCAATCAGGCCACAGCGTATTCCACGATCGAATGTTCTAGTACAAAGTTATGTTGGCAAGCTGGATATAGTGTTAATTCATTCCATGAAGTGCATGTGAAAGCTTTTTGTAACCCTACTTCGGCGTCCTCAGAGACGAGATTTTTGGTGAGGCGTGTCAAGACTGTATAGAGAAACAACAACGCATGTATGTCTTAGACTGCGGCTACTTAAAGGATATGCCTATCCTCAAAGAGCCGGGTTTCAAGAAACAATACCAAGAAGAAAATATCTAACCCTCCATTAGCATCGGCATGTAGTCCTGTCAAAAAAACCTGCAGCGTCGCCATTGGACATTGTCTGTATCATATCTTGCTAGCATTGCCCGTCCGACATTTGTCCCGAACCACTCTAAACTGTCCAATATCTCGTCGCCATCGCGGTTGAAGATTCAGTATATCTGAAGACAGCATCCAAGACTTGGTCTACGAAGAGACATATACTTGTACAGAAATCCTTCAGAAGAGCTTACACTGTATCCGTGTACAAACAAGCCGCCGGAGTATCTTCATATGCATGATCAGTTGCGGCTAAGTGAGGAAAGGATGAGACTAACTGTGGTCAGAAGCATCGTAACTTGACAATTGATAAAACGTTAACTTCTCACGACCTAAAAGAGTGAGTGTAATATCGGAACTCATCGGGATTTCGCTCGGCCTCGTTCCTCTCACCCTTCCACGGATTCCGGATCCCGACCTCCGCGAACAGACTCGCGACAGCGGGTACAGGATCACTTCCGACCGATTGGTCTGGCCAGCTAGCTGACCTTCGTTCTGGACCATGTTCGTCAAACGATGGTCACTGTACCCAGGCTGTTGGACTTGCGGTCCGGTATAAGGGAAGGGCACGCTAGCAACACTGAACAAGAAGCGAGCGAAGCAGACTCTCAAGAAAGTTCCAAGAAGGAAGAGGAATAGGATTCATGATTCATGAGCTCGAGCACTTCAAGCCAGATGTACCATACCCCTCCTAAACACGCCATCCAGCTTCCAGCCAAATCGCACGCATTACAAAAAGCCCTAGAATATACATTTACCATGACTTGCCAGCACAGCGCCGCATCCATGTCACCGGGAACCCAAAAGAAGCTCAATCGTAGAAGTGAACACCCGACGCGACCCAAAGAACGCTGTAGCATCAGCTCAACAACGGTGCTCGTTTCACTCCATACCAACCCAATCCCCGTACCCTGATAACATATCAAGTCTTAGGAATAGGGTAGGGTCTAGGCAGGTCTGGTACCTTGGTTCTTAGGACCCAAGATGTCATCGACCAAGCCGCCCCAGATCTGGCGCGCCATACCAGCCGTCTCTTCAGCCGGCTTTGCGATCTTGCTCGCAACGGTCGCAGCCATGCCCTGGAAGTCGATGGAGTTATTATCGGATACTTCGGACATGGCGGAGGGGGCGTGGATGTGTGTGCCGTCGGCGGAGGCGGTCACGATTTGGGGCAGCATGACCTGGGGTTTGTTAGTATAGCCATTCTAATACTAGAAGGATTACGGGTGTGGAATTAGGACATGAAGTATGGGTGACCTACCGACTCCTCAGTGTCCGCGGCTGTATGCGCTCTGCTCTCCTCTGTAGGCAAAGTATGCGGGAGAATGGGCACGCGGACGAAGGGTGCCGCGCCCTGGTCCGGGTCGAAGTCCGGAATGTAGGCAAAGTCAATTGTAGATGTGTCGCCTACGGCCTTGAGGCTGCGGGAGGTGTTGAAGTGACGGATAGGCTTTCCGGGGTTGGCGGGCTCGGGGATGGGGCGCTTAGAGTCGCTGATAGCGGTACTGAAGGCGCGGGAGCTGGTGATCTCGTGTGCGGAGAGGCGGTCGACAAGCTGGAAGTCGTTATGTTAGCATTTGTTTAGGAATTGATGAGATTGTCAGTGTCAGGGGCTGTGAGGAGCTTCACGTACCTCAGCCTTCGATCCGGAGGTGGGAAGCTTGCGCTTCTGACACTCGGCACGGAGGCCAGCGACATCTCGGGGCAGGTTCAATGCCGGTCGCTCTGAGGTGATGAGGGAGGAGAATGTAGCTGGGCCGGTCATATGTAGACCGCGGGTCTGTTTGCTGCCCGCAGCAAGGTGCCTGAGGGCACGGGAGGAGACGCGTGAGGACATGATTACAAAAGTGTGGTAAGAGTACGAATGGCACGGAACTGCAGGAACAGAGCGGAGAAGGTTAAAATCAATGGGTAAAGCGATAAGATGGCTCCTGAAGCTGCGCGAAGTCCCGAAGGAGTGGTTGGAGGGGTGTTGGGTATCCTCGGGCTGGACAGAGGGGAAGGTACGCAGGTCAAGACACAGAGGGGGACTTTATGAGGGAGATATCGGAAGTAGATATTTGGCCCGTCAAGGCGGTCAAGGAGCGTCGTCTTATGTCAGGAAGCTGGCGACCGTAGCTCCGAGCACTAATCGCCTCATAAACGGACGAATCTCTTGGTACGCAGCCGCTGGATAGGGTGGACGTGCAGGCTTGGTGTCTTCAACCGCGCACAAAGCAACATGAAGCGGGAGCATGGGCCCTCAACGCTGGAGGCCCCGCTAGCCTTCATCCGCTCTAGATCTCAACCGCACCAATGGCAGCTTTCGCTCCACAGGAACCATCCGCCCACCATCACATTTCCCCGCACTTTCAATACTCACTTGAAGCAGCTGGGCTCTTGGGCGCTCACGGCATGGTCGTATGATGTTTGGGTAGTGTACAGTTGAGCTTGAAGCTACTGGTATGTGTTGGTCCATGTTGGTGTATCCATACGCAACTCAGGACTCTTATAGATAAAGTCGGTGTGCCAGATCTGTTGAGCGCACGTTCGATTGGCCGAGCCCTGCCTGATGTGGCATAAATCTAACTTTGGTTGACATGTACCCTGATAGCGATCTCTGTATGCTTGTGCGTGTTGTGCCTGGCCCGGCTCTCCGCGTAGTGCCGACTGCTCCGACGATGCATAAGCTTCGGTGCGTTCGATGGAATTCGAGGTGTCACGATATCTATTTTGCCTTCAGAAACAGCATGGTTTCTGATAACGATTCTGTTTATTCGTCCTAGATTTGTTGGCGATGGAGAGAAAACTGGGGGCTTGATAAGTAGCAGTTCAACAGAATGCAGTGCAAGGTGTGACCGCAACGCCGGGCCAAAGCATCCGCCAGGTCCGCTTGAGTGGGTAAGACTCATCAAAAATAAGCTCAGCGGAGTCATCCAAGATGATTGATGGGTTTTGGCAGCGGTACGACGGGCTTGCGACCGCAAGGGGCTTTCAAAAAACTTGGATATATGTTGGGTTTGGTTCCAAGAATGCCATAATTCAAAATCGGCCTGATGGTCTAGTGGTATGATTGTCGCTTCGGGACTCACGTGCCTGGATACCCAGTATCCGAGATTGTGACAGGCCCCGGGTTCGAATCCCGGTCAGGCCCGATGGATTATCTTTTTGCATTTTTAGTTTTGGCTGATCGTCTGAAGTTCAACCTTGACCAGTGAGGACCTCAACACGGGGAGCTAGCCTCAGTGCTAGCAACTACTACTCTTTCAAAGGGCTGAAGGCCTTTTATTTAGTACGTAGCGCCATGCTTTTACTGGAGTTGGCGAGGAACACTATAGGAGATGTATACCATACAGGTCAGCTTGTATTTGAATCTCAGGGCTCCTAACTATGTGCGCAGTAGATCCATTGTCAGAGAGTTGCAAATATGAGCGAAAAAAGATGGGCTGATTAAAGAAGACGAGCATGTTTGCAATGTGCTATGAGTTCACCTGACATACAAGCTAATTTTGAAAGCAAGTTATAACGGCTGCATAATGATTGATCTGTACCATGAGGACCTGAATACAAGAGCCGATTTCCCTTTACTTGATGGCTATTCTTGAGGAATCTGATTTGTGGAACCTATCGATGTGGCTCTTATAGCATCCGTACAAGTATTTCCGGATAATGCTTAGAGTTCAGATGACCGTCAAGTATAACACCTCGAGGATTCCCAATTCTCTTTTCGTGGCATCGTCCACTTATTCATCTTCTTCCCCTGATGCCTACCGCTCTTTCATGCCATGCTCATTTGCCCTCTTGTCCACACGCTTTCTTCTCCTCTTCCGAATCGTGCTCGTGGTACTCGCAGGGTATGATTTTCTTTGACTTGCCACCGCGTAGCAACTCCCGAGACCTTGACATGACACGTACAAGAAAGTCATGAGGTAGCTTCGCCTTGAGCTCGGTCTCTTCCGGACTATCCTTATCGCTCCAATTTGCGCACTGCGTGTCAACCAGAAAGTCTAGAATCTTGTAGGCAGAAGGAAGATTGTCGAAAGCGTATATGACAACGTCATACCAAGGCGTAAATCGAGCCCCAGATGTGACGTAGTGATTGTTCACAGCTTTTCGGAGCTTGGGTACAGAGAACCGGTCGGCAAACACATATAGTTTCATGAACATCATGCGTGACGCGGCCGTGCCGTAAGACAACTTGAAGCATTCCCTAACGTCCACATCCTCAGAATATAATCGTTTGACATCTTGAGTGTAGAGCCAGTATATGAAGAGTTTGAAGAGTTCAGGTTCCACATCCTCAATGCGAACTACTCCCTCCGCCTCTTTCCAAGGTCCTGCCAATGCTTTGCGGAAGTAGTCCGAGTAGTAGACGAGGAAGTCTTTGTACACCTGATAGTTTTGGTGATTAGGACCAACTTCGATGGTCACCATATCTCCAGCCGCAGCGGCCCTGCTCGCAAATTAGCTTAGGATCGGTATTCGAGCAAAGGGAATGCTCTTACCCCAAGGATGGCGGCGGCGGCGCGGTTTCCTTTCTCTCCGCCATGTTGCGAAAGGATCGAGTGCGTGTGCACTTCGGCACGTTTCGAGCGACGTTGTGGAAGCTTGTGTACGGGTCGAAGTGAGTGTGCTGGGGCAATGGAGTCGTTTGGTTTCGAGTGGATTTATATAGTATTGGTGGGCCCCTTCCTAGTTGGGAAGTTTGTTGTGGCTTCACTTTCGCCAATCTCACTGTTTCGTGGTCACCCTCACCTTGAACGGAACTTTATCTGGCATTACGGAGAATCGAATGTATAAAATTTTCGAAGCTAATTCGAATGATAGCCCTACGTTGAGTATTCACCTGGGCAATTACTTCCTACTCTCGTGACGCTTTTGAGCTGTCGATGCAGGCTGGGTGATGAGAAGCAGACTTGATGAAGCTACCCTTCTGTAAGTCCCATGCTAATACTGATGAGTACGTCTAGAAAAGACCTGTTTTCTCATCACAATGCGTCTCTATCGTCAGTCCGTGCATTCTCCACGATCTGAAAATGCAAACTGGACGAGCGCCTCTTCCAATGCGCGACACCCTCATGCTTTCACTGAAGAGATCTTCTTGCCTTCCTCTTGATTGTTGTCTTCGTCATCCTCTTCCTGCGTCTTCAAATATTTCTTCCACGTTGCCTTCTCTTCCTCCGAGCCAAACTCGTAGTAGGCCCAGGCATCAAGCTCCTTCGAGGCTGTTCCATCTAGCATCTCCTTGTATCTCAACGAGATACGGAGTAGAAAGTCCCGAGGCAACATCTCACGGAGAGCCCGCTCGTCCTCCAACGCATCGTGATCATCGGTCCAGCATGCACAGTGAACGTCGACTAGGATCCGTAGTAACTTGCGCGTCGAAGGAATGTTTTCGAAGGCGTGCGTGATCGTTTCGTACCATTGAGGATGTCCATCGGATATGAGGTGGTAAGCCAGGAAATTGTTCGCAAAATTCTGAAGCTGAGAGATTCCGAATCGATCCGCAAAAATATAGAGCTTGATAACTAAACCACCGTAGTCTTGACGACCATTGCGCAACGTGGAGCTCCCCTCGTCGAGTTCACCTCGGGTCTCGAACGCCTTCTCGGTCTCTCGCAAGTACAGCCACTCGACAAAATGATTGAAAACGCCAGGCTCCACGTCGTCTAGGACAGTGACACCATTGCGGTCAGATTCTTTCCAAGGCTCTTTCAATGCCCTGCGGAAGTACTCAGAGTGATGGGTGAGGAGATCCTTGTGGACAAGGTACTTGCGACGGTCTGGCCCGACCTCGATAGTGACGGCGTCACCGCGCGCGGCCGTGCTACAAAGCTGACTTAACTTCCCGATGTCGGTATACTGAACAAAACACACTTACCTAACTGCAGGGGGGGTCTTTGATGGTTCATCCATCGCTGTAGTTGTTGGTAGGTGGGGTCCTGTGGGGAGACTGTTGGAGACGAGGTTGGTTGAATGCTTTGAAACAAAACATTAGAGGCAGTAGCGCGACGACTTGGTGAGTGAGCGAATCTGGGATTGAGGCGAGAGTGATCGTGTGACTTCCCTGTTTCACTTTCATTCTTTCATCATGGACCACCACGACCTACCGAAACTTCATGTAATAGACACGTTGTCTGGGTTGCTGGATAAGGTAGGTGCACAGAAAATGTTCGCCACAAGTCGGTCAGATCATCGCACAGCATTATCATGTATATCGTTGACAGAAAGACCGGCGGGAAATGCAGATTGACCTGCGACATATACAAACATCATAGAACAACTCCACAGAGAAATGCCGCCTGGAAATGGATTTGCTCCTAGGACAAGAAGTTACTCATTGACCACCTGCAGATTTCCATCACGCCCGTCCATCCTTTGAGAATTTACTTGGCCGTCTTTCACCTTCTTGATGAACCCACCCAGCTTACTCCCACTTCGGCCCTCCGGTTCGATTCGCGAGCCAGAAATCCCTGTTCCACCGGGCCTTTGTTGATACGGAGTATTTTCCGTCGGTGCTTGGGCGGGACCGGGCGCATTCGCAGTAGGCTTCCGCTGGCTATGAACATAGTGCCCAGTCTCGATTTCAGTTCGCCCTCTCTCGATGGCCGCTTGGTTCTTGGCATGGACCGCTGAGTTTGGCTTCATGAAACGCTTGTCCACGGTGTTGTTCAGAGTACCTCGAAGGGTCTCTCCGGCGCCCTGTTCAATCTCCGTTAGAATCATGTCTATCCAGCACAGTGACAGTGATGCTTACATGAATACCAGCGGCTGCAGTCTTCAAATTTGCCAAAGTAGATGGCTTCTGTGGGTTTTGTGACGACTCAGGAATGTGCCCGGGTCTGAGTGGCGCCGGATGTGGTCCACTCGGGAAGCCATAGCTCGGTTGTTGCTGCGATTGTTGTTGGTTCAATTGGTTCTGGTGCATCGGCGGCTGCCCTTGAGGTTGTGTTGGGTATTGGGAGTATTGCGGATTCGATGGCTGTCCTGCCAGGGATTGCTGCGGAGCAAAGTCCTGCGACGGTATCTTTCTCGGCACTCCAGGAGGAGGAGTCCGCGCTGGGTAGGAAAAGTTCGCTCGAGTCGGACTTCCAGGGCTGACAGGCGATGCTAGAGGGTTTGCATGTTCTACTCCGGGAGAGACCGAGTCCAGTTCTACCCTGTGTCTCATGTTGCTCCTATTCGGAATTGGTGGATGCCCTGTGAAGTCCTGAGTCTGATGAGATGGTCCGGGACCTTGCTGAGGATGCTGGTGCTGCCGGTTGCCATGTAAGGCAGGAGGTGCTGGAGATGGAGGGCTAGGCCCTGTCGTATTCGTAATGTTACGTTGGGGGGATGGGTCTCGGCTACTTGTGTTGGCCGCTTGTACGGTCGTAGTCCCGCCCGGTCCTGTAGTAGTTGTTGTTGTTGTCGTCGTAGTTGTGACTGTCGTTACGACGTTGCCAGTCCGCGAATCCTGATACGTCTCCCTGGAAACATTTTCTTGACTTCGCTCCTGGCGCGCCGTGAGTGCAGGAGGAGGATAGTTTTGTCCGTGTGTAGGAGGAGTCGGAGGGGTGATATTTGTAGCAGGAGTTTGCAAGGCTGCGGCTTGGGGTCGCAACTGTTCCCCGCTCTTTGGCTGAGATGGTCGTCGCTCGGTGTTCGAAAAGCTCGGAATGTTGCTGCTGTTGACATCTGAGCGCGAATTATTGTTAGGCTCACTGGACGCGTAGGCCGAGTCTCCAAGAGAGTCACGGTTGTCTTTGCGCTCCTTGTCTTTGTCTTTGTCTTTCGAATGGAACGGGTTGGACAGTCGCCATTTGGACTTCTTGTCCTTGTCTTCGGGCATAGTGGAGTATGCGACGCACGAGTAGGAACCGCTGGCTTCAGAGGGGTTGAGTGGAGGAACAGCAGGGGTTTCCCCGGGATAAGGGTTCGCTGAAGACAGCCGACCTCGGGTTGGGGAGGGAGAACCAGTCGGTCGTCGTTTCACAAGTTTTGCACCCTGTCGTGTCGGTTCTTGCATGGCATACGGTACGTTATAACTTGGTTGATAGCAATGAGCTCAATTGTGCAGTAGGAGTAATGGGCTGAACAGAGCGGGATTCAACCATAAGCAGGTCTCTGTCCGTGACGTAGGTGTGGCGCTAAATGTGGCGCATGCCCGTCGTG